CTGTGAACAGGGAGCTTTATATAAGGCCACCAGCGATAGCTCAAAAGACCTCGGCATACGTTCGATGAGGGCGTTGTAAATGCCTAAAGATAAAAAAAACTGCTTAAAATACGAAAAATAATGACTTACTCATGGTTAGTTTACAGTCATCCAAACTTCTTGGCTTCCCAAAGATAATGCTCCATCAACCATTTCAGAGGATATTTCATCAAGATCCTATCTACTGCGAAAACAAGTATACATCAGCACAACATTTTTCCTACCTATATTATACGTATACACGCCCGGAACTTCCTGCAGTACATCGATTGATATGCGACCAATTAGTATAGCGTTCCTTGTCAGTTTGATCGAAAATATCTGTCTGAGTTGTCGTTTCGCACGGCCCAGTCCCGTTCATCGGTTTCACCTGTGTAATCCGCAGCTCAGATCGCGTATACCTCTACACACATACGTGCACACATAGGTACTTACGTAAGTACGTCTACACTTGCGCTCGAGAGCTTGCGAGGGGCATACGAAGATTCCCCGCTCGAGCAGCACGAGCGAGCGGAGAATGGAAGCAGGCGTGTGTCTTCGCCTTCTCCGAGTCCTACAACTGGTGTTTTCCTGGCCGAGCGTCATTTGAAAAGCGCGAGGCCCGCCGTCTTCACTGCTCGCTCAGCGAGGACCACGAGCACCAATCATTGTCGCGTTTTGTCGTTTCCGCAGTGGTGTTTTTCTCACAACGCGTCAGTGTATTTTTTTTTTCACGTATACTTAATTAATAAATTTTGCATGTGTGGACTCCAGTTTGAGTTCAATCCAACAAGCCTGGGTTAGAGAGCTGTCCCGTGACGGTGGACTGGGCTTTTTGCATTTGAGGAGGCTGCCCGGACGGGAGTATTTGATGGACGATTTTCGAAAGCGCCGCCAACAGCGATTTGGAAAGTGTGTCTGGGTTGGGAAGCGCAAGTGCGCGGGTGAGTGTTATTCTTTTTTTTTTTTCCTCTTTCTTTTTTCCTTTCCGAGTGCGTGTTGTGATTTGCATGCTAAACTATCGAGTATCTGCTGTACGTAACTTGGGCGAGTCTGCAAATGGGATGTTTTATGCTTTTCGCGTCCCTGACGATTACCATACAGCGGTGGTATATGTTTCAATTTGAATAGTTCAACTTTGCATTGTCAGAGTATTTTTTTTTTTTTTTTCATTTTGTAGTGATTTCCACTCTTCAATTGCTACATTTTCAAAGTAAAGAATCAAATCAAACTCATTAATTTTTATTTAATTTAATGTCTTTGAGCCTTAAATTTTAAACATCCAAGGATTTTGTTTTAGTTGTCTTTCGATTCATTTTAAAAAAGTTACGGTTTTATCTCCAAGTTACAACGTGGTGCACACAAAGGGTGTTATCAGATCAACTTTTGTCAGAACGAAATTTTTTTTAATTTCCACAGTGCTTTTTCTTTTAACCTGAACTACGAAGACATACCCACTCAATGGGTTGTAATAACGGTAAAAAATGCATAAAGAAATTTTGTCATTATTTTCTGTAACAAATCACTATCTAATTCAATGGTTATATAAGTAAACGTTGGGTCCATTATGAAACCAGCATAATAAAACAAGATTCAATTATTTTCGGTCAATGTCAACTGCTGTATCAGTTTATTTATTTTTAAATTTATATGGTAAGCTTAGATTTTTACCCATGTTTGTTTTTACCTAACTAGTGACTAGTACATCTAATTTTGGCTTTTTCAATAAGTAAATAGTTGCTCCAAATTAAAGAAATTTCATTGATTCAACCACAGGAGTTCGGAATTTGTTGCGTCATTCAATGTTTCTTACCATAAAATTACAGCATCGAAAATTTTTATCAGTCTTATAAATCTGAAATTTGATATTTAAATTTTTCATTACTTTGTAACCAAGTGCCAGTGATAACTTTTGTCCTCAAAAACTTCATGTAACCTTCGAACTGATTTATACTACTCTCTAATCGTTAATTGTAATGTACTGTCGACTGAATACTAACTCACCTGTTATGTCAAAATAATATGTCAAGACGCTTCCGCCAGTGATGAGTTGTCCATTTTTACGAAGACGACGGCGGTACTTTCTTTTTTTACTCGCTTTGCTTACCAAATCAGATGGCGCACTTTATGAATGCTTCAATGAATGCTGAGAAGCTGGTTTTAGTACCATAAGAAAGGAATTTTTGCATGAGCTTTAAATAATCTTTTGATGCATTTATCACCATACCGATGCTCGGACGTTTGCTATTACACAGTATAGAAATATATGTATATCTATTTTACTTTTTCTTAAGCCTGTGGTATGTCATTCAATTTAGCGAGCAGTCACAAAGTTATTTACATTATCACGCACGGAAAAATAATTTGCGACGTCCACAAAGTATTAAGAAAAAAATGAAATAAATTTTAAGTGCTGAAAGACGAAAACAGTTATTTCAGAAAGTTTACCGTGAAAATACGAGAAATTTGCATGCATTTATAGAGATTTTTTATAAATTTACCTATAATTTTATATCTTTAAAAATAGCTTTCCACTGCCAGACTAGTAAAAGTAAAAGTAATTATCCATCTCTCCTGACATTCGAAACACTATGAGATAAAGTTCTGGCTATTTTTGCACGATAATTTATAAAAAAAAAAAAAAAAATTCTCACTCGTGCAGCATCGTCACAACGTAACCAACATTCCATGTAACCTTCACCTAAAGTACATACGTGCAGAAATTGTGCAACACACGTCACAAGTTCATCACCATGACAGCCGAAATAGTTCGCAATTTTCGAAAGAACGAGAACATTGCACAACTGGGCTTCTCGTTCAATTTCTGCGGTAGATTGAAATCTGGACTGGTACACCTAGCTGCGTTGCTTGAAAGTAGGCGTACACTGAGAAAAAAAAAACAATAATCATAGAAATCTTCCAGTATCAATTACCATCCTTTACAGTAAATCCGACGCAAGCTGTCAGAAAAGAAAAAAATTATTAATTTTAACACCAAAGTTATTATTTTAATAAATAAAATTGCAGTTTCAATAGTTAAAATTATGGTTAGACTAGTAAAAATTACTATGCTGGAACAGTAAACCTTTCATATCCTAAACCTTGTTCATAACTTGTTTAATAAAAAAATTAAGCCAAATTCTGGCTTGGACAAAATTATTATTCCCGTATTTCTAGGGAATTTCTGTAGGTGAATAACCAATTTTTTCTCTTTTGGAAAGCATAAGATTGAATCGTATTTTTTTTTGTCCCTGGGTAATGGACTAGATATAAAAAGAACATTTGCAGTAAAAAAATTTACAATTTACGTACCAATAACGACCAATTTTATTAACCAAAGGTAAGATTTTCTGACGGTATTTCATTTCCAACAGCAGCATCGTTGGGCCAAATCAAGTAAGAATGAAATATAAATACGTGTGACACGATCGTTCCGGCTAAACGCTTATTTTTACCCTTAATACTTGCCAACATCTATATCATGCTGAAAGCACCGGCTCTCATAAATAACTATACATCAATTAACACATTCAACAAGTCACAGCGGATTCACCTCTTTTATTTAATATTTTGAATGCTGATGTGCTCAAATTATTTGGTTTGAATAGCGAACGAGGACTACATGGCCGATGTTTTGCGTATGACCTTATACTATATTATGCGAATAAAAAGATTGAAAATGTTAAGTCCACACCGAAAGACCTGTATAACAACACAAAAAGTTATTTTTGTAGATTGGCAGCTTAACACTAATGGTTTAAATGCGAAACAACGGTATTTAGAGATGTTCTGTTTAAATACTCCAAAAACACAAGAAGCAATTTCGAAAATTTTAGAATAAAAGACATAAAAGAAAATAAAGACATCCCGCACAAAAACACGGTGACAAACCTGATTATTTCGTTTGATGAGTAAATAAAATTTACCGCACACATACGAAATCAAATTAATAAAAAGCCANTGAAATTGACAAAATAGAGAGACATAATTTGAGAGACAGAAAATTAAAAAAAAATTTTTTTTACCTACAGTTAAGTAAGTATTTGACTTAACTTAAAGGTATTTCGATATAAAAAATTAAAAGAATCGAAATTTTTTTTTTTTAATGAAGGTAGGCAATGGGAAATTCTTATCGGAGACAGGTTACGATAATGACATTTTAACGTTATATTCTTTGTTGAAGTTTGCAAATCATACCTGATTCAAGATTTTTTGTATGAATACAAAAAAACACAATTACTTTTAATGAAACTTTCGTTTGTAAATATTATTTTAACAATTTAACTGCTTGTAAAGAGCAAGTACATGAAAAGCCCAAGTTTTTTTCAAAGACCCATATATATAGTACAGACGTATTATCATTGAGATAAAGTACTCAGTTGATTAGTGCAGTACCGACAGTACTACCGGCAACAATTATCTGGATGAAAAATTATACGTCCCGTGGTAATGGCCGAAGTAGCATAAAACAGTTGAACATACTAAGCTCGAATACACCCATGTAAAAGTATTCTACCATCGGAGGGCGCATCTTCTTATCGCTGCGGAAGGCAAAAAAGGAACGGCACCCAGTCCAAGGACGACGGTAACGCGAGATACTAGATGAACTTCTAAAAGCGTATATATTTACACAAACACGGTTCGACTTATTGGTTTGCACGCCCCGCGTTGAAGGAGTGTCATAACCCGGGACTTTCTTCGCGCGTGCAAAGACGCATCGGCACGCGCCTAAGGCCTTTTTCGCCGCGCGTACATTTATACTCGCATCGCAAACGGTGTAACCAAATAACGCGCCTGTGATTATAATTCCAGGCGCGGAGGCTTCCCTCCGTATGCGGACGGTGACGGTCGTTGCGGGCATCAGCCGGCGTCACGCGGGGAAGAAATGCCGGAAGTAGAAACGATGGCTGCCGCTCGCTGTTGAGAACCTCGACTTAGTCTTTGGTGGAGGAAGCGGAGAGAAGACGCCACCGGCAGTGGACATGTCCAGGGCCCGGGGAGTGCCTCCGGTCCGGTTGAGCGTCGTCCTGCTGCTGGTGCTGATGGCTAATTGTGCGCGGACTGCCTCGTTTGCTGATATGGTGCGCTGGCTTCTCAAGTCGGGCAAGGTGAGCGGGGCACTTTTTCCCTAACAACTAGTTTCACGAGGAACAATGATGTTTCACAATTGATGGGCCATTTTGAGGTACAGTTGTGAAATCGGGTATGAGATTGGTCGGTAGATGCGTTGTTTTTTTCTACTAAATTTTAGTGCGTGGCTCAGGTTTGAGGAGAGTAAGCCAACGGTTTAAGTGTGTTAACAGATGAGCCGGAAATACTGCACCTAATCAGGATATGATTACATATATTACAGTCTTGTCACTTTAAAACTTTCGATTTTAGAAAACCATGACGACTCTGTGGATGTAATTTTGTAATTTTCGCACAATTGACTTAGCGAATTTCGTAATTTCATGTGCACCACGGACTTATTGTTATACATTCTACATCGATCATTCCACCAAAAACGGTACATTTCATATCTCAGTCGATTACAATGTCGTGTCAGGAAATTTTTTATCTAAAAACTTTCTTATATAATCAAGGGATGTTCACTGCTGAAGATTTAACTAAATTCAGACCATAAAAAAGTATTTCTTTAGTTTTGGGTAAAAAAAAGGGTTTAAATTCACTTTATGGGCTCGTGTTTCCTTACTTTATGGGCTCGTGTGACCTTAGTTACACGACAATCAATCTCTTAAGGTATGGTTATATTTTAGAATACCAAAACAAAAATTTTAGAAGACTTTAAGTTGTGGCTGAACAATCTGAAGAAATTATATTATTTCAACAGAAAATATTAAGAGCTTTTAAAAGCAAAAAGCTCAAAAATTAAAAAAATTAAGAAATTTCCTCTTATGTCTTTGTTCAAGTTTTGAATGTTCATAACTTTTGATGCTGACAATCTTTTAAGACATTACAAAAACGAAATTAAATTTTTTTTTCAAGCCCTTTATTCTCAATTTTTAAGGGACTAAGCAAAGATTAGCAAAGTTATAACAAATAGTATAAAGACAGTCAAAAAATAAATTTTTAAATTCGGTATTAAGAATCGGAAAGAACGATAAAACAGTATGTGCCAACACCTGAATCCTGTGTTCTAGGTATTTTTCTTATTCATGGTACCTAGGATAACGAAAAAATTATTATTCTTGAAAATAAAATTTTGTAGTTTTTAATATCCGGAAAAGTAAAAAAAAAAAACGAGATTTTCTCATACAACTAATCATATTTAAGAGTTGCAGATTCTATTTTTCCCACTCAGAGTATAAGTGTAGTAAGCGTTTAAAAGAAAAAAACTCTCAAAGTAGAAAAATATTTTTTTTTTCCATCTTCAGGAATTTTTCGTGACATTTAGATGCTAACTCCATCACCCGATAGAAAAATTTGCATAATTTTATTGAATTTATTATTTTGTTACACTTATTCAGCTTGTAAATTTTGACGCTGAGCATGTTTCTTAATGATTCAAATAAAATATTAAAGTTTATCTCAAAAGAGACTCTGTACGATCTTCTAGAGCATAGTTATATGATCAAAAATGAAGTATAGAAAAAAATATCGAAAATACGCAAATTTTCAAGGAATTTTTTGATTTTTCACTGTATTTACTCACAGCTTTAGTATAGGTCATCAAATTTGGGACAACTCAAAAAGAATATCCAAGCTTATGCTAAAAGCTTTATTTTCCTTTTTTTTAAACTTTGTACCACCTTCTTGGGCACAGTTATGAGTAAAATAGTAAAAAATTCAAAAAATATTGTGTTAAAAGAATTTTCTTGTTTTTAAATACAACTATGCTCTAGAAGGTCATACAGAGTCTTTCAAAAAGGAAAATGAAGCTTTGAGATAAGCTTTAATTTCATTTTTTAATCATTGAGCAATATGATGAGCGTCAAAAGTTACAACTATAATAAGCTTAAATATTGAAAAATTCAGTAAAATTCGTAAAATTGTTTTTCCCTATCAAACTCTGAGTGTCAGTAACTATTGATGTTGGGCACTGTTAAAAACTTTTCATGAGTGAAAATTAAAGCTTTATTCAAGCGCTTTATTTTCTTAATTCAAGAAATTTTCTCTGACTTTCTGAGACAGAGTTATGATTGAAAAAGTAAAAAAACGTGTAATTTTATTCAAAATTTAGAATCGAAAAATGAAAAATGCGAATAAAAAGTATGTACCGAGACCTGGATTGCTTGGTCAAAGTATTTTTTTTATTCTGAGAAATGCCTCGGACAAAAAAAAACGTATTTCCTGAGGTGTGCTTAACTAAAAAATGTCACCGTCTTTTTTGACACTGAAAATGGCAGCAAATAAAAGTAATCAAAGAAAAAAAGGTTAATGGTGCATTACGTCACTAGGGCACAAAATACGAACATGAGCACCCAAAGGGGGTGGTTGTCGTATATTGATGCCCGAGTCACGTATATTAATCACTTTGCGCCCATGGATAGAAAACTGTACTCTTCACCCTGAGTAAGAAAAAAATATTCGCGACTCGGGCATCAATATACAACAATCGCGCCCTTCGGGTGCTCATGTCTGTACTTTGTGCCCTAGTGATGTAATGTACCATTAACCTTTTTTTCTTTGATTACTTTTATTATAGAGAAGGGGGGGGTAGGGCAGGTGTGGCACCCTAATTTTAGTTGCAAATTGCATTAAGAGACTGTAAATATGCAACTATTGAAAAATAGAAATGAATATAAGCAACTGTTTAAAATTAGTAGACATAAAAAAAATTGTTTTTTTATTTATTATTAACGGCAAAAAATTGCTCTATATAAGTTTTAAAACTGCTCCCCTTACCCCATCGGAGGACACGAGGAGGCGTAGGGTAGGGTACGCGTAGCACGGTGGTTATGAAGTGCTAAGTGTATAGTTGAGTTGTAAGTATTTTCATGATAAAACTAATGTTATTTTTAACAAAATGAAATAATTGTAAATATTCCGATTAGGTAACTTTATTTTTTTTCTGTTAGTGGACAATTATACAGAATAAAGTTCGCATACTTTTTTTTAATTTTCACGTATAAACAAATATAATTACGTAATGTATTTAATGTGCACACATAAACTCATACACTGACTTACACACACACACACACACACACACACACACACACACACACACACACACTATAAAACTGTCTTGTATCGATATTTTATAATTTTTATAGACACACTTGATACAATTTACCAAGTGTAATCAACTACGTAAATCACTAAACATTGCAAGTCGGCATTCAAAGCATCTTGTATTGTTTACATACGAACAAGGTTAGGTATAAAATCAGCAGACGATCCACGCAGCCGACTTACGAGCCTTATGGCTGTTCACCGTGCTACGCCTGCCCTACCCGAGGCGCCACGCTTGCCCCATTCCAATACAATTTTATATTGTTCATTATGGTACTTATATAAACTTTAGAATAAAAAAAATCGTTGGACGAAGAATTTAAGGACCTGGGCTATCAAATTGACCTATTTTCGTTTACAAACTATAACACTTCTGACCTGCTTCAAGCTATTGAAAAATGAAGGAAACATTTTTTCAGTACACTACATTTAAAAATTATGAAATAAATAGAAAACGTTATTATATGACATTATAAACTCAGAGGACAATTCTAATACAATTTTATATTGTTTATTACGGTACTTATTTAAACTTTAGAATAAAAAAAATCGTTAGACAAGAAAGTTAAGGACCTAAGCTATCAAATTGACCTTTTTTTGTTTACAAAATAGAACACTTTCGAAGTTTTGACCTGCTTCAAGATATTGAGAAATAAAGAAGACCTTTTTTCAGTACACTACATTTAAAAATTATAAAATAAATAGAAAACGTNTCACCCGTAGGCTCAGACATGGCATTTTTTACACAAGAATAGTGTTTATTAGCCATCGGTGCACCTGAGTTATGACCAGATGTTTATACGTATAAACATGAGGGCCAACACAGTCACACCTATGATCACGTAGACGAAGCGTCAAAGAAACCATTAATCGATATACGAGAATCAACAGCACAGCTGAAACGGCGAGACTTGAACGGTCACCCATCCAAGTACTAACCGCCCCAAATGCTGCTTATCATCGGAGATCGGTGAAACTACAACTCTATTGTTGCGCTACCGCAACCACTATATACATAGTTATATCGTAAAATTAAGGTTATAAATTGTTAAAATTTTTTTTTTCATAGGAACTAATAATTTAAACAAATTTTTTATTCTAAGTGTTAATAATTTTTTTTTTTTTTGGTAGAAAAAACTTTTGTGCTATCTGCACACAGTCCGTTGAGAGTATGATTAGTATGATTAGGGTGGAAAATAACATAACAACGTAGATATAAAATGTAGTTGAGCAACGTTTTATTGGACATTACACTAACCTTATAAGGTTCAGTTTATTAAGCTGGCTCCTCACCACACTACATAGTTTACAATTTGTGTAAACTTATTAAGCTGCCTGACTTAATGTAACCATAAAAAGCTAGTATAATACCGAAAAGGAGTACTTGATGAAGTGGAAAAAAATCATTGTGAAACTTTAACTAGATTGCATTTGAGTATAATCGTTAGTTATTTTAGTATCACATTCACAAAAGGTAGGAGTCTTTTTGGTTTTTATCAAATTTTTATTTTTAAAAGCTTATTGTATGCTTTGGACAGTTTAACTTTAAGTCACCATAGAAAATTCTTAAAAATATTCGATTTATAATAAGTTAGATGCAATATTTTACGTCAAAACATCGGCTTTTCTCGATTTTAAGAATCTTCGTAGTAAGCAATTAAGTTGGCCAAAGAATATGACAAGCTTTTAAAAATTTAAATTGGATAAAAAATAAAAAAAGGTTTCTGTCCTTTTTAAGTTTGAGTGTAAAATTTAAAATTACACACAAATGCAAAATAGTAAATTTAATAAAATAATTTTTTTTATCTTGTAAAGTACTTCTTTCTCGTACTACACCATCTATTTATTATTGTATTACTACAAACAGCTATATTAATCTACTATATCTTAAAATATTGATTGTCAGGTGACTGAAGCCTTTCTATTCGTT